GCAGGATTGTTGGGAGAATGTAGTGGAGGAGGCAGGGGAAAGAATTAAAGCAGTGAGCACCATCGGATCCACCTCTCTCCTACCCGAAGGTCATCCTTCCAAAACATGCTCGGGCCTTCCGGCTTTACTTAACCAGCAGGCCTGTGAAAATAGATCTTATTTTGATTCTCTCTCCCCAGCACTGGGAGAGGTTTTAAAAGCTTGACACTTCTCTTACACACCCCGATGTCGCAAGCAGCCAACGCAAATTAAACCTGGATTATTATTTTAAAAGAGTGATAAGGGGAAGGGGGGGACACAGCCACCCGGATTTTGTCAGATTTGCTTTGTCGAGGCAAAATGCCGATTCCTGCCAACGTCAGTGACAGGGGCTTTCGGGACCTGGTGCTCCAGAGAAATTTTCCCCCTCCCGATTTTGTTATCCCTTGCATGCAACTGTGGCTCTGGGAGAGCCAGTTTGGTGTAGTGGTTAAGTGCATGGACTCTAGTCTGGGAGAACCCGGTTTGATTCCCCACTCCTCCACTTGCACCTGCTGGATGACCTTGGGCAACACATAGTTCTGACAAGAGCTGTCCTTGAAAGGGCAGTTCTGGAAAGAGCTCTCTCAGCCCCACCTACCTCACAGGGTGTCTGTTGTGGGGAAGGGAAAGGAATTTGTAAGCTACTCTGAGTGAAGGGCAGGGTATAAATCCAATCTCCTCTTCTCTTCTTCTTCACACGGCTAGACCTCTCATGCACACCCTTGTCACTGCAAGGAATCCTTCCCACATCAGGGAAGACCACCTGAGCCCCTGACCTATGACCTCTTCCTCAATGCGCCCTGCTCCATTGGTGCAGCCGCTCACGACCAAACTGGGGCCACCCCCTGGTTCAGACGTACAAATGAAGGAGACAGAGGTCATGTACTTCAATTATATCCCTGCCCTTCCGTCAGGGAGCTCCTCCCCTCCATTCTATCCTCACAACAGCCCTGCGAAGTAGGCTACACTGAACCCAGGTCTCCCACTGAGCTTCATGGCTCATTCGGGATTTGAACTCGAGTCTTTCAAGCCCTACTCGGACACCCTAAGCACTGCACCATGACGGATCTACAGAACTGATTTCACCCCTCTGGGCTGCAGGGGCCTCCAGCTGTCAGCCTTCCCATACAATAGAGGAATTCCCTGCAAGCAGAAACCCAGCACAGCAGGAAGTTCTGCCTATGTGGTGCTGATTTTCTATTTCCAGGAAGGTTGTTGTTTTTTTAATTGAAGGGGAGCACAGCAGTCTAACACCCCCCCAAAGGTCTGTCACTATATCACTCCCCCCCCCCCAATTTGCATCCCTCAATGAGGACTAGGCCCCAAATCTGCATCCTAATGAAGGCTTCCCACACGATGGGAAGACTTGGAGAAGAGAGCCAAACGTCTTTTGTCAGAAGTGCATCTACAGAGGGTGACTTTTTGACAGGTGAACTATTGTCAAAGGCCGGTCAAGTGTTTCACTTGTTAGAACAACACCAATAAAAGATATGGCTAAAATATCAACTGCCTCGATACCTTTATGAACACACGTAAACATGAAGCTGCCCTATACTAAACCAGACCTTTGCTCCCTCAAGTTTAGTATTGTCTACTCTGACTGGCAGCAGATGTCCAGGGTCACAGGCTGAGGTCTTTCCCATCACCTACTGCTGGATATTTTTAACTGGAGATGCTGGGGGATTGAACCTGGGACCTTTGGCATGCCAAGCACAAGCTCTACAACTGAGCCACGGCCCCTCCACCAGTTTGGTGCAGTGGTTAAGTGCACCGAGTCTAATCTGGGAGAACCGGGTTTCATTCCCCACTCCTCCACTCGCAGCTGCTGGATGACCTTTGGCAAGCCATAGTTCTGACAAGTGCTGTCCTTGAAAGGGCAGTTCTGGAAAGAGCTCTCTCAGCCCCACCTACCTCACAGGGTGTCTGCTGTGAGGAAGGGAAGGGAAAGGAGTTTGTAAGCTGCTCTGAGACTCTGAGTGAAGGGCGGGGTCTAAATCCAGTCTCTTCTTCTCCTTCTTCCTCATTACAAAAGCAAAGACCCCACATGAACTAACTGTCGTTCTGAAAACTATTCTATTCACTTTAATAAGCCAAGTAAACAAGTGAAGAAATGCATAACGGCAATAAGCCATTCTCGCTTTTAACAGGGGTAGGTAAGATTCCTAGAAATGGGACCAATCCGCCAGACAACTGGAACTATCAGGTGCAGCCCACAGAGAGAAGTCAAGCCACATGTGCCATAAAACATAATGCCAGGTACCAGAAATATAAACTGTATAAAGGACAGCAGCTGGTAAGCTCCGAGTTGGTGTATCCTCAGTGCAAGGCCCCGTGGGCTGGGAGGGGGGTCCAGAGGAAAACCCACATGGGCGGGCTGGAGAGGCAGCGGTGCAGCACTGGGCAGACACTCCCCCAATGTTTGACTGCTGCAGACGAGGTCGTTCCGCTGTGCTGAAGCCACAACAGAGTGGCTCCCCCCAGCACTCCCTCCCTTGCACCGGTTGCTCGCGGGACGCATAAGAGCCCTGGGTGGGCCGCTTCTGGCCCCCGGGCCTTATGTTTGACACCCCCACTCAAAGCTGTGGAGTCTTATGAGCAAAAATTCTACTTTGTGAGCTGCCGGCATCAAAGTTGTGAGCGAGCGATTGGGCTGCTGCATCAATCAGTTTGCTCTGGAGCCATCCTCCCTGAGCGAAGGCAAAATTGTGTAAGCCGGAGGCTAAAGAACTGTGAGCTGGCTCACGCCAACTCAGCTTAGAGGGAAACACTGGCAACTCTAATAACCAACCCAAGTTTCGGCCTTGAAGGCCCGCATGCTCCGGAGACTAGTCCTGGACACTGAGGGTTGGGGGACTCCTGGAGATTTAGGGGGTGGAGCATGGGGAGGGGGGGCTTCAGTGGGGTATAATGCCACACAGCTCACCCTCCAAGGCAGCCATTTTTCTCCAGGGGAATCGATCTCTGTCGTTTGGAGGTCAGTTTTAGTTTTGGGTAATCTCCAGGCCCTGCCTGGAGGTTGGCAACCCCACTACCGCTCAGTCTCACCAAGTGTATGGGGGAAGATGCCACTAGGCACTGCAGGAAAGAAGCCACCAGCTCAGCAGCCAATGCCTTGCTTCCTGGAAGGGAAGGAACCACATACAGATCACGGCGGACTATGCCCACTAGGACCCAGAATACCCCTAAAGCTGGAAGTCAGGTGACCTTCAAGGACCAATCCTGTGCCATTGCCTGCTATAAAGCTTCCAGATCAGCAGCCGCTGCCCCAGTCTCCAGGGTTGTGAGGGTTTCCCACACGGCCTCCTGGGTATAAGAATCGCCCCCCTGCCCACATTACATTAAGACAGATGAATCAGTCTCCCTCTGTGCCCCGCTTTCAGGCCATCCGTGTGCTGTCTGTGGGTCTTCTCACCAGTGGGTCACACAGACAGGCAGGCTTGAGCAAATCTGGGAATGAACCTCCGCTATATTCGTGACCTCAAAATTAACCATAATACCCTCCAAAAAGCCTTGTTTGCTCCTCTTCTAAACTGTGCCCCCAAAAGCAGATTGACTTTGTTACCATTTAACCACCTTCCTGGGTCAGTCAACCATCCCATATAGCTCAGCTAGCCATATTTCTGCTCTGTTTTTCCGCCAACCCCGCCCCCCGACAAGTAGCCCTGACCTGGATTGTCCAGGCAAGCCCGATCTCGGAAGCTAAGCGGGCCGACTCTGGCAAGTACTTGGAAGGGTGACCTCCAAGGAATACCAGGGCCAGGACACAGAGGCAGGCTACTCAAACCTCCTCTCTGAAAAATGCACAAGCCCCTAATAGGGGTCGCCAGAAGTCAAGCATGAATTCCAGGCAAGCACACAAAACACACACAATTTTTTTAAAAAAAAACTATAGGTACTCTGCAAGGAGACTCGAGCCCTTGGCTTGTTTGCACTTGATTTTTATTCTTCACTGCCTCTCAGGCAGCATGTGTGGTTCCCATTCTCCCTATATGAGCCTCAAAACAATCCTATGAGTTAGAGGGGAGAGAGAGAAAGAGACAGACAAGAGACAGAGAGACACCCTGGCTTCATTCTTTGTAGGCAATTGCACAGCACTGTACAAAAGTCACAAAGTTACATGGATAAACTACTGGGGACTGTGGTCTGCAGTGTTCCCTCTAAGGTGAGTTAGTGTGAGCTAGCTCACAGTCATTTAGCCTCCAGCTCTCACATTTTTGTCTTAGCTCAGGAAGGAGGGCTCCAGAGTAGAAATGTAAAATTTCCAGAAATTTTGAAGCTCGGGAAAAAAACGGTTTTTTTCGGGGGGAAACGGAAATTTTCGGGGAAATTGGGGGAAATGCTACATTAGCACTTCTTTTTTCTTTTCCAGATTGAAAGTCGTTCTGTTACTTTAGGAACATAAAATATGACCATGGACATTTTTACTTGGCATGAAATTATCACAACTAGCATATTAAAAATATAGTGTATCCAAACAATTATTACAAACAGAATACCCACCCAACATGCAAAAACAAAACTGAAACCTTTTTCTTTTCTTGTGACAACAGCACCTCCTAAAGGAAGAAATGCATCTTGTTCTTGCATTGGAGAGTTCAATTTGTAACCTAGGACTTGCTTGTCCTCAGTGCACAGAAATTAGATCAATCTGATACCATACATATTTTTTAGAAATGATTTGGAAAATATTTGAACACCTTGTCTTAAAATATTTTATTCATCATGTTAAAATAAAATGTTCCGTAATCAATTTTTTTTCTTTTCTTTTTTCAATTTTTTGGAAAAAACAAAAAAGGCTTCAGGAAAAAAATGGAAAAAAACCAGTTTTTTTCCAGGCCTTCACATCTCTACTCCAGAGCAAACTCCAAATTGCATTCACAATTTGAATGCCAGGAGCTCACAAAGTACCATTTTTGCTCACAAGACTCCACAGCTTGGAGGGAGCACTGGTGGTCTGTACTACTCTTTATAGTTTGCTGTGGGGTGGATCCTCTTGTGTAACCGTGCACCTTTTAATGTGTCATGTTAATGCTTATGCGCTCGGCTTCAGTTCTGTTTTTAGACTTCTGGCTGGTTCTACAACTCACATCCTACTTCGCTGTTTATCGAATGTCCCATCTTATTGACGGTACTGACTCACTCTGTGTAATCCGCCTTGAGTCTGAGTGAGAAAAGTGGACTATAAATAACGTTCGTAAATAAATAAAGGGCCGTGTGGGGATCGGAATCCAGGTCCCGCAGGCCTAACCCAATCCTCTAACCACTAGGCCAGCTCATTTCCCCCCAGGGCCGTCATAAACATGGTAAGGGGCCTACTAAATAGGTCTGTACTCTTTCCAAGGGGGTGGAAAGATGCAAAAGAGCATCAAATGAGATCGACGTCCCCTCGCAACACATTTCGTGTGGGCAAGAGTGTCCAAGCACAGACCTATTTACAAGCACACACAAACACACACACACAAATCCAGGGCAGCATTTGACAGATTTCCTAGACCCATGTGCAATGCAAAGAATTCATGGAAGCCCTGTGGACTACAACTCCCATGATGCAGTGCATCATGCAAACACATCAACGGCTCATAGCCAATGCCCCAAATGGCAACAAGGGGTCCAGCCAGAATGCAACAGAAGGTATCCAGGTTTGCCCCCAGAACTTCCCCCATGCTGAGAAGCAAGTCCACTTGAGTGGAACCCCAAATTTCACTCTAAACGAGCATCCCTGAAAGGGAGTACGATTCAGTAAAATCCTGGCCGGCTGGAGCAGACAGAAACAAGAGGGGGGTGGGCGGAATCTACCACAGTTATCTCTCATCATGACCCAGTGGTTTTTCTCCGCCTCTCTCTCTCCAGCTCGGCTCAAAGTGTCCCTTATCTTCAAAAGCCAAGCCCACACGCTCCTGACAACTTCAGCTGGCACCACACAAAGTTTCCCTGGCCGGCTCTGCCTGCCAGTTTCCGCTAAAACCGGCAGGTAGACCCCGATTCTGTCTCCCCTGCTGCCTTGTCCCATTGCACAAGCCGAGGAACAGAAAGAAAACGATCTGACCAGTGTTCCCTCTAGGCTGGGTTAGTGTGAGCCAGCTCACAGGTTTTTTAGCCTCCGGCTCACGCATTTTTGTCTCAGCTCAGGAAGGAGGGCTCCAGAGCAAACTGATTGATGCAGCAGCCAAATTATTTGCTCCCAACTTGAATGCCAGTAGCTCACAAAGTAGAATTTTTGCGCACAGGACTCCATAGCTTACAGGGAAGCATGGCATCTGACCGAAATGGGTGCCACAAAAATTGGGGAGCGAAAGTGAAGAGGCACAGAGGAAAAACAAACGAACCGTGCTGCGCAACACAGAGACATGAACTGGGGGAGGGGGGGCAGCATTCCCCATTTGGGAAAAACTCAGAACCATCTTCAAGTACTCGAAGGGCTGTCATATACAGGATGGGGTGGAGTTGTTCTCTGTTGCCCCAGAAGATCAGACCAGAACCAAACGGGTTGAAATTAAATCAGGTGAGTTTTCACCTAAACATGAGGAAGAACTTCCTGATAGTTAGAGCAGTTCCTCAGGAGGTGGTGGGCTCTCCTTTGGGAGTTTTCAAACAGAGGCTAGATGGCCACCTGTCAGGAATGCTGGTCCTGTGAATTTAGGCAGATTATGAGAGGGAGGGCAGGAAGGGTTCCATCGCTGCTTAGTTCTCCTGGCCGTTTCTTACATGCCCAGGGAAATGCTGATTGCCACTTTGGGCTCAGGAAGCAATTTTTCTTCAGGCCGGTTTGGCCGAGGATCCTGGAAGGGGTTTTTTTTTGGGGGGGGGGGGTTGTTTTCTCTGTCCTAGGGGGTTTTTTTTGTGGGGGGGGGGGTTGGTCCTCTTCTGGGCATGGAGCAGCGGACAGTGGGTGTGGGGGGATATCTGTGAATTTCCTGAATTGTGCAGGGGGTTGGACTAGATGACTCTGGAGGTCCCGTCCAACTCTATGATTCTCTGTGATTCATCACTCTCAACTCAAAAGGAGAGCAGGAGGGGAAAAGAGAGGTACGTCACTTCGGAACCTCTGACCCACCGGCGCACAAAGCACACGAACAGACAACACGCCTAGGTTTGTACCCACATGGGGCAAGTATGAACCCCCCCTCGCCTCAATCAGAAGCGGCTGCGTGTGCGAATTTACCACTCCCATTTTTTTTTAAAAGAAAAAGACCTGGTGAGATCCGTTAATATCAGAGAGTAGCCCGAAGAATACCCCCTTTTCATCTTCCCCACGCTTAGTTGGCAAGCCTTTGCAAACTCCACGGGAAACGGACCCCCCCCCCCAAAGGAAATGGTTTTCTGAAAACCAAAAAAAGGGGGGGATGCCAAAGCCTCACTAATTCCAAGGAATCCAGGCAGAATTTTTTTGGTCACCTGCACATCATTTTGCAGAAATAAAACCTAGAGGCAAGGATCAGAACGATTGCCCGTAACTCACGGCCACCCCTCCCCATCTCCGTGGCTTCATAACAAGACAACTGTAGCAATTACCAATCCCCCTCGGCCCTGCCACGGTGAACAAACAAGTTAAGCCAATTGTCGCCTCCCACTGAACACGCTCTCTAAAGCTCCCCCCCCCCCCAACACAACCGGTTGCACCTCCCAAGAATGAGGGGGGGGGGAGATAGAGAGGCCAAACTTCTCCCTTTAGTCACGCACCCCCCAAAAAAAACCCTCCGCTTTTTTTCTGCTCACCATGCTGAAGTCAAGGAGGTCACTCAGTTCTTTGTCTGTTCCTGCCGCGGCCATTCTCTGCTGCTGGTTCATATTCCCACCGATTCAGCAGACCCGGTCCTTTAAAAAGTCGTCATAAATAAACAGGGGGGGGGGGAGAAGGAGGAAAGAGACGGAGAGAAAGATTTTATTAAAACAGAGGAAGGAAGCCACCGATAAACAGTGATATATATATATATATTTGCAAGATCCCTTGCCTGAAATATCAATCCAGCCTGGGCAAAAACTCTGGACAAAACAACCCCTCCCCCCATAGGCCGGCAGCACGCACATGCACGCACACACACTGTTGGCTTCGCCTGTGCCAATTTTTTGGACTTCCGAGCCAGCCTGCCGCGGCCGAACAGAAAATAATTGCCAGCGTCGGGAACAGTGTTCCCTCTAAGCTGAGTTAGTGTGAGCTAGTTCACGGCTTTTTAGCCTCCGGCTCACACATTGTTGTCCCAGCTCAGGAAAGGAGGGCTCCAGAGCAAACTAACTGATGCAATAGCCCAATCGCTCGCTCACAGCTTTCATGCCAGGAGCTCACAAAGTAGGATTTTTGCTCACAGGACTCTACAGCTTAGGGGGAGCATTGGTCGGGAATCAAACTCCACCCTCATTTTACCTAAAAATCCCGGAAGGGAGATTGCTAAAGCTTTTGCTGCTTCTTTTTCCTCTGGGTCTCTTGTTGCTCGGGATATCAGAGATGACTTTTTTATTTATCTATCAAATTTATACCCCGCCCTCCCTGCCGAAGCAGGCCCAGGGCGGCTTACACAGAATTAAAACACATAGGTAGCCATTAAAACAATCATAAAACATTCTAAAAAACAAGTTTGCCAGTCTGGGAACAACCTGTCCTTTTAAACCTGCTTTCCCTATACCCTGGCTCACCACCAAGGGTCATTTCCTGCAGGAGCACACAGGAGCGGAGCTCTGGCAGTAAAGAGCCCAGGGGGCGGACACATGCAACAAGCCACACCCCCTGCTCCCAGCAGGCCTCAGTCAGAGCAACAAGCAGCCAGGTAAGCTGCAGAGACCCCCCCCCGCCCAAAACAGTCCAGCAGCACCTTTAAGACCAAGTTTTATTCAGGTATAAGCTCTCCCTCCTCTGTGAGGACAGATCTGCACGTTCCCCTCCCCCAAATAGCTAGCAATCCAAAACAGTACAGTGGTACCTTTAAGACCAAGTTTTATTCAGGTACAAGCTCTCCCTCCTCTGTGAGGGCAGATCTGCACGTTCCCCCCCCCCCAATAATTAGCAATCCAAAACAGTCCAGTGGAGCCTGAGCGGTGGGTGTTGCCTTCTGACACACTTCCGGTGATGTCAGGGGGTGTGGCATATGCAAATAAGTCATGCTAATGAGTTATGCTAATGAGCTCCTGCACCTCTTTTTCTACAAAATGACCCCTGCTCACCACCGTTTTAAACTCTCTCTCTCTGTCTCTCAAAAAAAGTAATTTCACCCACCACAATAAAGACACTAGTCCAAGGGTGGTCAAACTTGCTTACCGTAAGAGCCGCACAGATATAAATGTCAGGTGTTTAAGAGCCACAAGACATGAACAAGTAAAACCCACACTTTTAATTGAAATATATGCAAATCTGCTTTTTTATTCACATGAAATGAGACTGCCAAAAAATAAAAAACAAAAGAGGTAAAAAGAGATATTCGATAATTATATTTAACTTTAGATAGGGAGGGAGAGAGAGAGAGAGAGAGAGAGAGAGAAAGGTGGATAGAAAGTAAATAGATGGGAGGGAGGGAGAGGTGGAAAGAAAGCAAATTTAACTTTAAAAAAAAACATTCCACACACCACTGGCT